TGATCCTGGAATAGAAAGTTTTGTTGCCAGGTCAGGAGATGCAATGACTGATAATTTATTGATTACTCACAGTTGGAATTGAAAGCCATTCACGTTCAACTGCAAGAATGGGTGCATTCTCGTCGAGCAGCCCCTCAAACTGCCTCTTCATACTGGTGAGAATACGCCCAACATGGCCCTCGTCGAGCGTGCGAAGGTTGACAGTGTTGCGAGCCAGAGTGGGACCGCCAGCATGAGGATCAAGTCTGATGTTGTCACTCTTTGACATGGGAGCGACAGTCACAGTGAAGTAGCCAATGGTGGCGTCCTTCAGCAGCCTGTACACCGTCTGGAAAGTAGTGTAACGGCTTCGCATGTCTGCCTCTTCTGGCTTGGGCACCTGACAAAAAAATATCAAATTCTGTACTGTCGCCGACAATACAGAATACCAATCAGGAGACTCACAAGGATCTTCTGCACCTTCTTGTTGACCTTCTGTAGCAATTGAAAGTTATAAGTCAACCCCAGTATAGCAGACGTACAAAAATTGTCAGCCACTCACCACTGAAGCAGATTTCTTTACCTTGCTCATCAGTGCAACATCTTCACTGGAGTCACTCATGTTCTCCTCCTCCTCCTCCTCCTCACTGCTCTCGTTGGCGTTGTTACCCTCTTCATCAGTCATCTGCGCCTCACTCTCCTCTGCGCTGCTCTCCTCTGTGCTGCTCTCCTCTTCATCATCAGTCATCTGTGCCTCACTCTCCTGTGCGTGCAATATTTGAGCATCTTGTGCACTTCAGTGGGAGGGATTAATATGCTCACTTCATCACTTGGGACACTGGCAGCACGCTGCAGAATATACATTAGCATTGGCTGAACATTATAAACAATGCCACGCTCATGCTTACCATCTTTCCTTCTTTCCTGGCCTTCATAATCTTGACGCGTGTGGCCTGCAATCATCCAAAACACTTTAGGATACTGTCGACGACGTTACACAATATTTATGATTAACTGGCCTGATGAACAGACTCAGACTCAGAGTCTGACAATTCTGCCTCCTTTACGGCTGTGAGGCTAGCCTGATTGGCAGGCAGTTCACCATAAGTGTCATCAGCCTGCGAGTCAGCATACAAGGGAGTGACTGCAAGTTCCCCAAAGCTGCTGGCGATCTAGTAAATGTCAGTGACCACCCATGTGCATTAATTTGTTGTTTATCCTACCTCTTTATACTATATGCACAAGCAAAGCCCATCAGTCAGATTGTCACTCTGGCAAGCAGTACACATACAACTTCATAACTTTCTTCAATTGCAGCAACTTCCTGTGCATCTTGATCAGACATTGACTGTCAATTTTTTTGTGTCAGTGACAATACACAAAAAATGAAAAATGAACTCACCATTGGGCTTCCCTTGTCCTCTACCTCATTGGGCTGGGACTCCTGAATGGTGTTGAAGGTCTATGGGGGAAAGAAAGTGAGTGCCATGTTGTAATGTCGACGACAGTACACAAAAGAAGAGAAAAAAATCACTTCACTGATGGGGCTCTGCAGATGTCATTGAGCATATTGCATGTCAGAGCAATGGCAGTAGTATGATGCACTCACAGACATGTTTGAATTTGAGCTTGAGCTGTTATGGCTTCCAAAAGAGGATGGTGGTGGTAGCAGTTCAAGAGTGGTTCAGCCACCATCAACTGGGGGTGCCCCTTTTTAAGCTCAGTGTGGCTGAGTTTGTGTGTGTTTATCATGTGGCTGTGAAGCCACAGGCATGTGATCTGGTTGTGTCCATAGCCTCATTGGGCAGAGTCACATGCAGTGTGGGTACCTGCCTTTCTTTGTACAATCACATGTCTTGCGCAGTAGGAGCTGGTTATGTGCTGTGCTATTTTAATGTGTGGGTACTGCTGACTAAGAGCTATACAGTCACATGACCTGGATAGTGGGCCGTGCACATGATGCATCATGTGATATTCTGTAATGTCGGCGACAGTATGCAATGCATGACTCTGTTGTGGGGTAGCACGGGCATGACACCATGATGAACCCCAAGTAGATCATGGACAATGTCATCACCAGAGCACAGCTAGCTGGCACAGATAATACAATCAACAGTGTAACTAGTCTTGCCACCGGCACTGTTGACATACATGCTCATTGGCTGCAAGGAGTGCATGTACCAGTACATATATCTGGGTGGACACATTGTTTGCGGCTCGTCTGTGCTGACAATGATGAGATTGGAGAGAGTCCAACAATGGATGGCAAGAGGACTCAAGAGTCAATGTCCAGAAGTATTATTCCTACCACAGACATGCTGGTGGATTGCCAAGTTGTTTGTTCCACTATTGTTGTTTCGTCTGCAGCACTACAGTAGTTGTAGCACCACGATTGCTGAATACACATCGTGACATGCACTTCCACTGAGTGTTCTGTATGCCTGCACAACAAGCATCACATCTCACCAATGGCTGACCGTGAGTCAGTCTTTTTGCACCTCACACTGTTGCTCAGCCGGGACTACCAACAAAGTAGCCGCACTTGGTTGTGATGGGTCGGTGTGTGTCACAGTACTGAGGACATGCACTCCTCAGTGCCCCTACATTGGTGCTCGCTCCATGGCGTCATGACCTCCAACCCACTGCTGGTTGCAGAGTGACTGCCAACAGTGCTTGTCTGCTGACCACACAGAACAACAGGTGGCAATATTCATACCACAAGTAACTACAGAACGTGGAATGTGCTTTGTCGGCGACAATACACACTGGCTGCCTGTAGTTCAGGTAGGCACATGACACCATGTGTTCGTGGGAAAGCACCTTGCTGCGCTTATAAGCTCAATCCAAGCTTGACCATCATCTCATTCCTTCTCTTCCCTTCCTTCCACCTCCTCAGTTCATCAATATGCCTTCATATGACAAGCGTGTGTTTCAACTGTTCTACAGCCACCTCCCTCGAAATGGTCGCATCATTGCCTATACCAAAATCTGCCCTGTGTGCCCAAGAGTGAAGCACATCACTGTGCTCTGTCTGGAAAAGCCGTGCTTTGCAGTCTTCTTTGACTATGTGTGTAACTTCACTGTTGGATTGAATGCAAGCTGACTTTGTGATCTAGTGCCCAAAAAGTCCATCCACAGAGTGTCCAGCGACGCCTAGTACAGGCCTCATCCAGTTGCCAAGACCTGCACGGCAGAGGCTGTGGGATGCTGTGATGGCACTAGAGAACCCTCCGAAGCTGGAGGGCTGGCTCTTCCCAGGGGCCGTCAAGGAGATGTATGATGTGTATGCAGTGCCAGAGATGTTCACGGGATATGGGAAGAAGGAGTTCAGGTTGGTTGAGGCCCTGGTGTTTGTCGAGGTGTGTTGTTATTTCTCTCATTCCTGTAAAACCATCTAATACTGTACTACAGGACAGACACCGGCCTATGTCCCTGCCACTCATGGCTGAGGTCGTTGACAATACTCTCAAGTTGATGTTCCGCCAGCCCATCACAGCACAGGTGTTTCCTGCACTGCCATGGTACAGAGAATATCCCGATTCGCCTGTGGCAGTCCCAGCCCTTGACTTCCACTACTACAACCTCGCGATCAAGTCATGGGATTATGCCTTGGGCAATGAGTGGTTTGGTGCCCCAGAAACAATAACCCTCCCCCTCCCCCTTTCCCATATCCCTGTCTTCAAGCGTGGAGACGTGACAGTTGCAGAATACGCAGAAGACTATTCGCTAGGGCGGAAGCGGATGGTGCCGCTCTGTGCAATGACGAACACCTTCTCCCCCCACCTGGAGTTTGAGCGCCCCGTTGGCCTGCGGTATCTACAGTCCTACGTTGAAGCAGAGTGGGTGTTTGGCTTGGATGCAGAGCGCAACTTTGTTGCAACCTGTCCAAGCATTTTGGATGAGGCAGACACCATTTTGGCATTGGATGATTATGTAGTGGTGAAGAAGGACTCAGAGAGTGGATTGTGAACAGTGTTCTGGTCTGTATCATGTACAATGTATTGTTCTTGACTGCACCATTTGTGTACAATGTATACTGAGGCAAATCTATGCATAACAATATACCACTTTGTTATGGCGGCTTCTGGTAAATGTTCACGTGCTTTTGTCCACTGACTGGCTGGATTAGCTATAGATCATCCTCAATGGTGGCCGCAATAGGCCTGCAGATACCAATACTGCAAGATCATCCAGTTGTGTCATGGTCTGGGTAACGTGGTCACAATCAATTCAGCATGCACTGTTATAGTGCTTGCATTTGTCTGCATCACTGGAATATATTACTGGACTCTTATTTCAGCTTCCCAAACAATGATTACTGGTATGGGTCAACATAAAATTGAAATCAGATCTATCTAGCATTCATAACCCTCAGGATCATAGTCATAGTCATCATAGGCTACCTCCTGATCCTCAATCTTCATCCTTGTGTGCTGAGCCTCCTTGTTCCAAGGACAGTGCCAGGTGTTGTGACCAGGGGCATACATTTTGCAGTGTGGGCATTGGTATTTGGAGCAGTTCATTTTGATGTGGCCTGCTTTTTTGCACTTGTAGCACAGCCCAGGCACCTAAAAATAATGACATCAGTTGAAACAGATTCCTAAGCAATCACATCTACATACTATTGGCTGGCGGGCACTGCATTGATGAGATGACTGGCCTGCCTGTGCACCTTGTTGATTCTACCAAAACCCATGATAAGTTAAACTGTGAGACAAAGGGTGGGACATCTCATTACTTGCCTTGGATGTAGGCACCTTTGCAGGCTTCTTAGAGGGCATAGATAGCCTGGACTTCTGAGAGTGAGAAGGCATCTATGCTTGCAGAGAGTGATTAGGCCACAATACAATCATAGTGAGTTACTTACTGTGTGTTGATGGCTGCTGGATTGATGGTGATGGTTCTAAGGAAGGAGAGATGCCATGTATAGGCTGGTATATATATGACAACACACTATTTGCACTTGTTTATGTACTAGTCCATGTCATGTGGTTCAAGCTGAGCTGTCGCAGTGCAGGCAACAACATTTGCTCATGAGTGATGGTAGACGCAGCTACAGCATGTTGCATTGTCGGCGACATTATGAAATAACACCATCAGGACAGGCAGCATGTAAGTGAGAAAGACGGTGATGAGCCCTTAGCTCACCTACCCACCGAAAACACAATTTACGGTCGATACGACGGTACACTACGTCAGTACGGTCGGTGCACTATCCGCCTGTTCGAGGGAACCGCCCGATGTTCGAAGCTCAAGTGTCCATGTTCGGAACCCTTAGTGGCAGAAGCAAGCGGTTGAGAAGTGTCACTACATTGGTAGGACTCCAGAGCAAGTACAGGGCTACGTCAAACTAGCTAGTGACGACCCCGGCAATTCTTGTATCTATGTCCTCGACCACCACACCCATGACCGCCACCCCTACCCCTACAAACAGACGGACCGGCGTCGAAGCCACGGTCAGTGTTGACGCGCTCGAGCAGGCTTTCGAGCAACCCGACGAGGGTGCCGTGCGTGCGGCGCTGGTCGACTGCGATATTGTGGATTGCTCGGCCCATGGACTCGAGGTTGTCGGGCAACTGGCGGAAGTCGGAAAGGATCAACGACTCGCGCTGATACTGCAGATTCGCGAGAGGACAACGTTCGGCCTGGTTGGTCTGTTCGAGCAGTACCAAGGTCTCGGACCACGCGATCGTAGGGTAGGCTGATCCTAGGATGTCTCCCTGGTTGCCATCGCAGTGGAAGACCTCGTCGAGGTAACACATCAACTCGTCAATCTCGGGGAACGACCTAGGAGCAGGAAGCGTATCGTTTGCCAGCATGATGGCCCGGCTGCGGGACTCGAACAAGAAATGCTGTTCAAAGGTCGGTTTGATGGTTCAAAAGATAGTCTAAGTTTGGAGGCACGTACGATCATCCAACGGACTCTGTGGGCCCAAGCCAGCCACTCTCCGGGACTGTTGGCATCGTATCGCGGTTCGACAAGTCCCTCGGTCTTGAGGACCTCGAGGAGGCGGTAGTAGCGGGCAGCATACGCTTCGGAAGTTGGGTCGAGGTGCGGCATGTTTGTGTAAGTCAGGCGAACTCCTGCGGCTGTCTCATATCTTCGAGGACTGTCACTGGCTCCGGTTATGACCTTCGCCGTTTGGGGACGGTCCTCCGTTATTCGGAACCTGCGGAAGGCCGAGCTGGATTCTCTCATGTGTTAGTAGGTCCGGGTCGAGCATTATGCTATCCTCCAATTGGTTGTTTCTCTTATCACTCTCTTTCATCATCTCTCGCATTTACTTGGCTCTCTTGGCCTTCGGACCATATTTTCCTGTATATACTCTGGGACTTGTTCCCTTCGAATCCCAGAGAGCCCCTTACCCTCTCAATCTCACCTCGCACCGGCGAGGTTCGTCAGTCAGCCAGTACGTTCGAAGTCAGCAAGTTCGCCAGTCAGTCAGTACGTTCGAAGTCAGTCAGTCAGTTTGCCAGTACGTTCGCCACCTCGTAGTTGCCCCGAGAGGCTCTACACTTCTTCTCCTGCCGTCGCTCGCCTTCCTTGTCACCGTTCGTTCGACACGTCTGTCGAAACCCTCCCTCCTACCTTCGAAGCTCTCCCACGTCGTTCGGAGTCTTGTCCGTCCTCCTCCTTCTTACCTAGACCACTGTACAGTCCCCCGTACATCTCATAGAAGCAGAGGCCTCGCATACCACTGCTCGACCTCACAGTTGGGTTTTTGTGTGGCTTTTGTGTTCTTTTCGGTCGCGTCAACGGATGGCATGGCCAGAGTATCATACCAATGGCACTTTATAGTGTGCAGTGGTCATGTGTCATGTCAACAATGCCAGAATGCATCAGCATATGTGTTGATGTACAGGATGTGTACACACAGCACATGTTGCAGTACAGCATCAGTATCAAGGTATTGGGAGTGAAGGCAATATGACATATGAACAGTGACATTGTATATACATGCCATGTTGGTGGCATGAGCGATGTTCCTATTTGGGTACTGTGGGGCACAGCAAAGCAAGTATATTCAGTGCCTGTGTTGACAACATTGGGAGCAAATTATCACACCACACAAGGTGAGGAACTGATCACACTGAGAACCATGCCAATGCCACACGAGACGGGCAACTGACCATGCTCAGAACAATCCCAATGCCACACATCCCCCCTTGTCTATTGGGCTTCACTGCCATCTTCTGTGTCAATTGCCTAACTTGCAGAAATTATGTACTGTCACTGACAATGCAGAACAAAACAATGCCACACAAGACGGGGAGCTGACCATGCAAGCACCTGCAGGGTCTGCATTGGGAAGCCTTATTCCCGTGTGTTCCCGTTTTGGTAAGCAAGCACCTGCGTGACCATATAAGGAACTGCGTGCACCATATAGGGAACTGCATGCACCATATAGGGAAAGCAGTTCCCGCGTGTCCTAATCGGGGTGCATGCATGATATATAAGCACCTGCGTGCACCATATAGGGGAAACAGTTCCCGTGTGTCTTAATCAGGGTGTGTGCAGGTTTTCCCACATTGCACACTGCGGGGTGCAGGGGATTATACAACTACAACATGTGACAAGGCATCTAGAGAGCAGTAGAGCAATCTAGATTCATTGGGACAAACTCATCGCAACCACACACACACAACGGCATGACATGAAGGCACACTGCAGAAGCTCAGACAATGCAGACCCACAATACACGACCATGCATGCCCACTATCTACCATCATCAACATTGCAGAAATTATGTACTGTCGTTGACAATGCAGAACAAAACAATGCCACACAAGACGTGGAGCTGACCATGCTGAAAACAATCCCACAGCACCTGCAGGGTCTGCATTGGGAAGCCTTATTCCTGTGTGCTCCCCTTTTGGTAGGATAGCACCTGCGTGCACCATATAAGGTGCTGCGTGCACCATATAGGGAAAGCAGTTCCCGCGTGTCCTAATCGGGGTGCGTGCATGATATGTAAGCACCTGCGTGCACCATATAAGGTGCTGCGTGCACCATACAGGGAAAACAGTTCCCGCGTGTCCTAATTGGGGTGCGTGCATATTTTCCCGCGTTGTATCCTGGGGGGGGTACAGGGGAATATACTACTAGGACCACGCTTCCAAGGATCCTTACCGACGATATCCTCTGCTAAACACGCAACTTCACTATAATCGCTTCTTCAAGGACAGGGCAATTGTACGTGCTAGGGACATCATAGCTCATTTCGCCGCCTTCGTGTATGACTCAGACGAGATCGGAGAAAGTTGTGTCGTTGTTCGCTCCCTTGACCGTGTACGTGGATCCCGCCTTTGTCTGTCAGTGCTTGTACCGATCGCCCCACAGAAATGAATCTACACATGTGTAGCTATAGACAACCATTTTCATATGCACGATCAGAGCTCCTGCGTAGCGCTCACGAGCTTCGAAATGCTCTCGATATATATACTGTCTGAGTATCGGTGCTACGTGTAGCTCCGGAGCTACATATGTAATGCAAGCGCGGCAGCTCCAAATCTTGACATTGTCGCGCGAGCTCCACTGACCGACTGAGCTCCGTCGTGCATACGAGCTCCCTCGAAGCAACCCGTGAGCTCTACTCTGCTCCGAGGCTCATCGCCGAAAGCGCATACCGTTAGCAAGAGCTACTGACATGTAGCTACCGCCGTTAGCTCCCGACGACTGTTCGATGTTCGACACTCACACCAATCCGTTGGCAACTTAGCAAGAGCTACCGGCATGTAGCTACCGCCGTTAGCTCCCGACGACTATTCGGCACTCACATAAATCCATAGGCAACTCCTCTGGACAACCGCACGTTTGGCAGCAGAGGGCACTCGCACGTCTCCCGGTACCCCGCGACTGGCAGCGCGCGGTGGTCGCAGCTAGTGCGAGCCCATAAGGCCGCTGTGTACACGGTGAGGTCGTGGAAAGGTTCCGTATCACGGACCACATACCGTGTCAAGAAAGGGGA